CTGGCGAAGGAGCACGTTCACTTCCAAGTCTAAGACGAACATAAGAAGCAAAACGTTTCTTGGCAGATTCTTTAGATCCACCCTGAACAGGTGGCATAACAGATGAAGGTTCTTGTTTCAATTGATGAGCAAAACGAGAAATTAATAATTCAGGGCTAGTAGAACCATGAGATCCTTGTGGAGGAGGCTCAGAAGGAAACCTATATTAAAAAAAAATTAATATATGTAATACATAATTATTATTACTAAAAATTATTAGTCATATTATAATAATATATTGTTATTTACCTTTTACGACTAATCATAGGACTACCATAAATATCTTGTGTTTGTGGATGAGTTTGAGGCACAGATGGAGTTTGTCCTAATCGTTGTTGAAGAAATGGAGAATAACGTCCACTTTCAGTTGATTGTATTACATTTGGAGGGTCAACATTTTCTCTCCTCCATGGTGAATAATCTCGAGCAAATGGACTTAAAGATCTAGAGACACCTTGCCATCTTTCCTTACTGGTATCTCGATCTTCCGTGAAACGTCCATGATATGGTGAATAAAGTCTATTTCCTTCTATTGTACTATCTTGTCGATATGGAGAGAACGGTCTTCCTTCTTGTCTACCTTGTCCATTAATAGAACAATGATTCGAAGAATAATCCCTATTTTGATCGACATGTTGCTTATATGGTGAATATGGTCGTTGAAAATTCGTTTCTGATATATCCGCCTCATTGGACGAAGGAGGAGAAAATGGCCTGGAAATTTCCTTTCGTCTAAGAGCGTATGGACTATAAGATACGTAGTTCGCACCATTCTCACTATTTGATCGTTGATGAAATGGCAAAAAGCTGGAGTTTTGTGAGTCTTTGGTGACATTGCTTCGTAGGAAAGCTGGTACTTCAGATTGAGCCCTGAGATGAGCTGTTTGTTTTAGAGATACATGACCCGTGATTCGCTGCTGCCACCCTGGCAATCTGAAACTAAATCCAACAATGTTAAACAATAATTTTGTATATTATCAAAAATAAATTACTATATCCCCAAAATTAGCATAGTTCATTTAAAAATGTCACTGGTACCAAGATAATCGTATCATGATGATTCTGTAAAAAAATTTGAATTTACAGAGGGTTAATAGAAGTTAGAACGTTAATCATAGAATCATGCAACACAAACAAGGATAGAGGAATTTTTACCAAGGTAACAGATTATAAAAAATATCTATATTTAAAAATAAAAAATTTGAAATATTGCATGCTAAAAACATAAGAAAATTTTAACTGATATAATAATCTTAATATTTAAAATAAAAATAAAAATATAATAATATAATTGAAAAAATAATTATATTTTATAATGAATGGAGTGTGCACAGGAAAAAATTATTTGTGCCACTGGCAGATCGCTACATAAGATAAAGACAAATAAATGAATATTCAAATAAATAAAAACAATGCTTACCATGAATGAGGGTTGAAGGGTGGGGTGTGTAACAGGCGCGTGCACAAACCAAACAACTCGAAATGAAAATCGGGCAGATTTTTGGATAATTGTGAGGTGTATTTTTTTTAAGTTTTTTGGAATTTATGGATAAATTTTTAAGGAAAATGGAAAAAGGGGCAGGGGCGAGGGAGAGGGGATGCTATGCTGCGCTGCCTCCCTCAAGCTCAACGCTGCAACACAATTTAACACGCACGCAAACTTTTAATCGAAATGTATGGATAGGTTCGTAAATGTCGTTTGGTAATGAATAAAAAGAGATAAATATATAAAAACTAGTATCCAACAAAAACCCAACTTTAAAATTCGGCGTAATTTTTCGAGCTGTTTTTTAATACCTACCCATTAACCATGAATGCTGAAGTGTGTTAAAATTTTTAAAACTAATATAAAAAACAATACCCGGTTATTTTCAAACCAAACCAAATCATTATGATATTAGTTGGGAATTTCATGCCATGTTTAAAACTCTATTCGCTTTTTATAGAACGAATTTTTCTAATAGCATATCTCGTTTTTTTTATCAAATATATCTTTCTTAATCAAATATATTCTATATAAAAGCTAAAAACTAAATTTTAGTATTTTTAACTAATATTATTGATAATTTACCTTGGTTCCAATTGTTGCATAACTCTGCCAAACCATTGGCAACTAGAATTTAGAACTGAAGAGTTTGTTTCTTCATCTTGTGGTACATCATATTTTCGAATAAAAGGATGTTCCATGAGTTTATGATATTTTGGACGATGTTTATAATTTTTTGTAAGGCAACAACTCACAAAATTTCTAAATTCCTTAGAAAACGATGCATCTGGTGGAAGGGAGGGAGGATCATCTTGTACTACTCTGCTCAATACCTACAAATTTATATAAATATAATTATGTAATAACTAAAACACATTTAATATGTAACATATATTTTTTACATAATATATATTACTTATTTTACCTCAAAATCAGTCTTACAATCTCTGTAAGGAAATACCCCTGTAGCTAATTCAACTAAAGTGATACCCAAACTCCAAACATCTGCTCTTATATCATAATCTGGTTTAGTTGGATCAGGAGGATCGATTCTTTCAGGCTATAAAATTATAACAATATTTCATTAAATAATTTCAAAATATAGATATAACAAGAAATAATATTAAATATACTTACAGCCATATAAGCAGCACATCCTGCACTTCTAGTTTTTGCTTTACTATCAACTAGTCTACCAGATATACCAAAATCACATAATTTAACTCCTCCCTTTTCATCAAGAAGTATGTTACTAGGTTTTACATCTCTGTGAATTACACCATGCTTTTCTTTCAAATATGATAATGCTTTTACTGTCTATAAAAAATATTTTTAATATAAATAATTGAAAATAATATTAGAGTAAATAATAAATAATAAAATTTATAATATCACTTACTGCTACTGTAACTTTTCCTAAAAATTCTTCTGGCATTGCCTGTCTAGTTTTTTTTAATAATTTATCTAAACAAGTTGCCATTAATTCCATACAAATCCATACATCAGATTCAGTAATAAAACAACCCAAACATTGCACAATATATGGACAATCATGTGATTTTAAAACAACATCAAGATCCATAATTATCCTTTTATTTTCTTCTGCATTACCGGAACGTCTCATTTGTTTGACAGCAATGAGTACACCACTAGGTTTATGCCTCATCTTTACAACATGACCACAGGTACCATTTCCTAATTCACCTAGGTGTTCTAAGTCTTTCATTTCAGTTTGATACCTTTGACCATTAATATTTAAAATACCATTCATTTTCATAATTTCTTGTAGTTTTGATTCAAATTCACTATCCTGTTTCTTTGGAGGTATCTGTGAGACTTTCAATGTTGGTATTGGAGCTATATTAGAAATAAAAATCAATCAAATTTAAAATATAAAAAAAAGTAATATATTTGATATTTTAAGAACAAAAAAATGATAACAAATTTTTATCATTAAATTATGTATATTTATATAAGTTAATATTTTACAAATATAATTTAAAAAAATGAAACTTAAATAGAGAATTATTTTATCTTCTAATATAAATATTTTATTTTGAATATTTTTACATGTACTATATGTATGTATATTTTTACTTTTCTTATAAACATTCATAGTTTCATTCAAATCATTTTATTAATAATGTATTTGACTATTAATAAATAAATATTAAATCATTTAAAGATAAATAATTCAAAATTAGATAAAAGAAAATATTCACTTTTATCATTAAAAAGATAATTTTACTCAAAAAAAAAAAAGTATTGTTTTTATTTATGATTCATTTAAACATTTTTCTATTTATATCAAAACTCGATTTATTTGTTAAAATAAGAAAACATTTAAGTGTATAATTCATGCAGAAATCACTAAAAACTTGAATGAAATAAACTACGCGTTAAATAGAAAGATTGAAAAAGTATCGCATATAGAATCAACAGAATAAATTGTGATGATCAACATAACCTGTACGACAAGTAATAAAACTAAAATTTTATTCAAAATTTTTGGAAAAAAAATCAAAAAAAAATTTTATCATAATCATAAAGATGTTTAAATTAAACTTACGACGTGAAGCAGAACTCGAGACAGATCCCGAAGATGACGATTGAAGGCTCGTTCCTGGTCCAACCTCGCTATTCTGTCTATCTCTATCTCTCGATTCATTTTCTGCTCTAAGACGTTCTTGCAAATTTAAGATCTTATTCTCCAGAGTACTGGACATTGCGACGTTTTTTTACGACACTATCAAATTCACCGCAAGACACCACCTCGCACAAAATATTTGACAATTTTCACATCACTCGTCTACCCCTTTTGGCAGCGAACATTGCGCCGCCGGTTATACGCATTTCAGTAGAACCAACTCTTTTCAGATTTCTTAGAAATTACTAGAAGCGTTTATGATAAGAAAGTTTTTTAAAACAAGATTTTCAAGGAAAATTATTACGTCTTCTAAACACAATATTATATATATATATTCTCATTTTAATACAAAATTCATATATGTACAAATTATTTAAGTAGAGATCAACATATATATCATTTCTATTTTTTTCTTCAAACATGAAGCAAATTTTTATAATACAAACTACACAATTATGTGTAGAATATAATAATACACATGTATATAAATATTTCTTCGAAGACTTGATTAATATATCTATTGAAATTGATTATAACTGTCAGATATGGAAAATTGAAAGAATTAGAATATTTTAATTTTATAAATAATAAAATTTATATATTAAAAACAGTAATGTCTTTCAACTTTTCATGTTCATGACAATTATAGTTCATATTAAAATTTATAATTTTATTACAATTTGACAATATTTTAATTGTCAATTATCAAACATGATGTAAAATCTGAATATCTTGAAGCAAAATTTAAATAACATTTCGCATTTACAACATTGATAGTCATATTTTAAATCTAATAGTAAAAATCTCATATTTCAGAAAAAAAGCTAATAGAGAAAGCAATGATATATTTAAGGAATATTCATTTAAAAGGATTTTAATTTTATGAATCGTTAAAAATTATTATTGCTCTACAAAGAAAAAATATTCATTGCAAAACAGCAGCATTTGCAGCTATACTTGGATTGTTAACAACTTCTCCTAAACTTTCCAACAATTCTTTTCTATAATCATCGAAATCTCCATCAATTTCATTAATTTGTTGGTTTTCAATTACATATAAGCAACATTCTGTATCTCTAATTAAACGTTCATCATGAGAGACAATAATAACTCCTCCTTTATATTCATTGATAGCATCAGCTAATGCATCAATAGATTCTATATCTAAATTATTTGTTGGTTCATCTAAAATTACAACATCAGGAGCATTTAAACATAATTCAGCTAATGCAACTCGTGCTTTTTGACCTCCTGACAAATCTTTCATTTTAATTGTATGAGCATGAGAACTAAGTCCAAATGTCCCTAACTGCTTTCTAGCTTTTTCATATGGTAAATCAAATAAACGCATCAAATATTCCACTGGTGATTCTTCAGCAGTTAGATGTTCACCAGAATGTTGATCAAATTTTCCTATTCTCTAAAAATCATAAAATATAATTTAGATATATAATTTTGTTATTTAAATAATAAAATACATTTTTATTACTTACTAATCGATGATTTTTTATGGATTCTCCTTTTATTGGTTGTAAATCACCTGTCAATAATTTCAAGAATGTAGATTTGCCAACACCATTAGGTCCTACTATAGCTATTCTAGAATTTAAATCTATGCCAAAATCAACATCAATAAACAATGGTTTTTGTCCTTCATAAGCAAAAATTACATCTAAAACAAAATATTTATTTTTAAATTATTTTTTTTAAAATATGAAAAAAAATTAAATATTGATAACATACTATGAAGACCAAGGATTGGTGGTTGCAATGGAGGTGGATCAGGAAAACTAAATTTTACTATATATTCTCTAGGTTTTTGTAATAATTCAGTAGGTGCATTATCTTCTTCTTGCTTTTGCATTTTTGTTCTATTTTTTTCTTGTTTCCTAGTCAAAGCTTCTTTTTGTTTTTTTTCAGCTTGTTTTTTACTTTGACCTGAAGCTTTCATATCTTTAAGTCGTTTTTCTTGTTTCTCATATGCTTTAATCATTTCTTTTTTTTTTTGCTCATACATTTTCTTAAACATACTGTAATTTCCCTTATAATAAAACAACTTTTGTTGATCTAAATGAATTATATCTGTACATACATTATCTAGAAAACTTTGGTCATGAGAAACAATAAGTAAAGTTTTTTTCCAGGCTTGAAGATAATTGTCTAACCAAATAACAGCATTTAAATCTAAATGATTTGTTGGTTCATCAAGTAATAATAATGTTGGTTCTAAAAAAAGAGCTCTAGCAAGAGAAACACGCATACGCCAACCACCAGAAAAATTTTTTGTTGCTCGATCTTGCATAGCACGATTAAATCCTAAACCAGCAAGAATCCTTCTAGCACGTGGTTCTGCAGAATCTGCACCAATAATTTTTAATTCTTCATAAACCTATAAAAAAAAATATATTACTATAATATAATCATTAAAATATATTTAGTAAATTACCTCTTGCAATCTATTTTGAACAGAATTATCTCCTTGTTCTACAAATTCTTCTAATTTTTTACATTCTGTTATTAAATCTTTACATTTTACATCTGCATTAAGTACTACTTCTACAGCAGGAGTATCATCAGCAATAACTTCTTGTTCACAATATAAAACATCAATATTAGGTGGAATAGCAAAAGCTCGTTTTGCAATATGACGAAGTAAAGTAGTTTTTCCATGACTGAAATAAAAATTGAAATTATATATTATTCATTAAATTAACATCGAAATTATATTTTATTAATTACAAGTTCAAAAAATATATACCCATTTGGTCCTACTAATCCATAACGTCTACCTTGTGCAATCAATAAACTAGCATTGGTAAACAATTCTTTTCCTTTAGCAGCAATACTGAAATTTTCTACCTTAATATCAACAGCATTTTCTAATTGTTGATTACTTCGTTGTTGACTTTGAGTCTGAGAAACAGTGAAATTTGTTTCAAGTTCACTATGACCCTGACCACCAGTTTTCATTAACATTTCCATCGTTTTCTCATATTCTTGCTGTTTTTTTAATTTTTTCTTTTCCTTGTGTGTTAATTTTTTTCCCGTTTCCTCCATTTCCATGTCAGATATTTTTTTCGTAACATCTAATATTTTTTTATCGGTTGACATATTGAAACGTGCACTTAATTTCCTAACCTCAATATTTCACACCCGATCTCTACTACCATAAAAAACGAAAGCACGTGGCGCCATCCAATTTTCCGCATACTATAGCATATTGCAGTAATTTATAATTATAAATAAAATATTTACTATCTATTAAGAAAAATAAAAAAAAAATTAATAGTAAAATTGACATTTTGTGAAAAAAATCTTTATAAAAAAAAAATTTGAACAATATAATATAAATAGTATATTATTTTTAAATATACATAACATAGATAAAAACAAAAAATAATACATGGTACAATTATAATACAAATAAAACAATTGAAATAAATGCGATATAATTAGATACGATAAAAATATATTGTAATTTTTAAAATAAAATAAAAGTAAACAAAAATACATTTTTTAAATGTGAATATTCTAAAATGAAAAATGTCGAAATTACAGGAAACAGACAAAAAAATGCATACTATGTATGCAAATTTTATGTCGTATATGGAGAAACATCGTCTATATGAATTATTTTATGTAAATAATTTGTATTTCATAAATACTATCTTTAATTTACTTTCATTTTATTTCACATAAAAAAAAAAAGAAATATACACAGGAAATGGCAACTCAATTATTGATTCAAAAACCCGAAGACCATCTTGTATTTATGAAACAATATCTTCATCTTGCTGCAAAAAAACTTAATATATCCAATATTATTTTAATTGCACCTGAAAATTTTGGTACGTTAAATTGAATTTCTATATATAAGTTATTTAAGATCAAATTTTTTAGAGTAAAAAAAAATATTTTATGTATACAGATAGAAAGGCATTAGCCAAAATTCTTCAGAAAGAATTAGGTGTATATCCTTTGAGCTTGAAAGAGCTTCGTAAAGTTTATACTCAACAGGATGTAAGAAGAATTCAGATTTTTGTTATCATTTTTTCAAAAAATAAATTTTTTTTATTTTATATATATATATTTATATATATAGGATAGTTGTCATTGCGAGGAATCAGAAGATCTTGCACATGCAATGAAAAAAATATTAGAAAGCGGAGCTTTTCATGAAAGTGGATGGTTGCTATTTGGTAACAATATAAAAAATATGCAAATGTAGAAACATGATGAAAAAAAATTTGCATATTTTAAAAGTTTCTCTTTTCATCTTATCTTTGATTTATAATATAGATTTGCCGAGAACGAAAAAAGAAGCACGAATATTTCAGCGTATGGGTATAATACCGACACATGTGATACAACTCAAAGTTTCAAATGAATATGGTAAAATTATAAAGAAACATATTTAAATTTAATAAATTTACATGATTTTCTTTTATAGAAAAATGGAATGATATTTATACAAACAATGCTCATTCAACTTTCATAAAATCTAAAAAATCACAAAATCATTATTTAAAAAATTTACGAGAATTACGAGAAGTATATGCACATTATTTAATAGTTGGTTAAGTTTTTATTTCTAATTAAATAGAATAACAAACATAATAATAAAAAGAAGTAATATTCGAAATAAAATAAAATTAAAAAATATTTATTTCCAGGAAATCGAAGTAGGTATCAGATCCATTGAAGAACTTGGAAAAGATTGTGCAAAACTAGCAAAGATAAAAAAACATTGTGGAACACCATCACTTTTTCGTATTGCATTAATTGGCCCTAGGGGATCTGGCTGTATTACTGTAGCAAAATACCTAGCTGAACGATTTAATCTTGTTTATAGTAATTTTTATCTATTTATTATTAGTTTCTTATTTTTCGATAATATTATATAACAAAAATTATTATTTATTTCAGTTGATTATGATTATATTGCAGAACAGGCGCGTTTACAACAAAATTCTTTAGGAAAAATTCTTCGATTATTTGAAGAACAATGGGGTGAAAGACCCAAACCTGAAATTAGAATTCAAATTGTTGAAGTATAATAAAATTAATGAATAGAATTTTTGTTTCAATAATAATGATATAATATTATTTTAGAAACATATATCTGAATATGAGTGTTTGAAAAGGGGTTGGGTCTTAACGGGTTATCCAAAGACCGTAGAAGATTTTAAATTATTTGATTTGAGTCCTACCCCTCCAAACAGGTAAAAAAAAAATAAAAAAAGGGAGTAAATATTTAAAATTTAAATGCGAAAATTTTTCAAAAATTCTTTGTTCAGTATGTTAAATATTTTAGAGTAATATTTATGGAAGTAAGTAGTGACATCTGCAGAGAAAGACTACTCAATCGTCGATACAATATTGTCACAGGAAGTAAACATAATTTATCTTCAACAATCATCGGTAACGATGACTTTAAATTAGGTGTTCATCCTAAAGATTTCAGACTGAATGTCGAACGAGATGTAAAAATATGAATCAAATTTAATTTCAAAATCGATAAATTTATGCATCATTATAACTATAATAATGTTATTAAAGTTACAAGAATATGAAGAAAATGTGACTGGCATGATGAAATATGCAGGCGAATCTGCAATAAAAATTGATGGAAATGATGAAAAAAGAATTGTTCGAGAAAAAGTAGAAGCAAGTATAATGCATCCAATTCTATCCTGGCAGTCAAGAATACCAAGACCTCCACCTAAGATTGATCCAATGAGTATTGAATTTGATCCTGATGATGAACCTGATTCCAGCGTGTTCGATAAAATACGTGCCCCTGAGCCGAAGTATACTTTTATCTAACTTATAATTAGTCAGCTATCGAAAATATTTCACTTTCAGCAAGGATAGGAACTAGGATGCTCCTAGTATATTCTGTTATCCTAACGCGCAGAGCATTTTATTTTTACAATATTATAGCATTTATATGACGTCATATACAGATTTTCTAACACATTTAACGTTTAAATCTTTTTTTATAATTTAACTTTCATAGTATTTAATATTTACAATTTAAATATTACATTGAAAAAATGAATCATAAAAATAAATTTTGATTAAAGACTAAAAAAATTAATATTATATCTTTGCAATTTTTTAAAATTTTATGTTAATTAATTATTGATATTTTTTAAAAGAATAATTTAATATAAGAAATAGAATTATAACGCAAACATTATTTCAATCTTATTTGCTTCAAGCAAATATATTGATGCAAAAGTAAACAGTATCTCATCAAAGAAAAGATACAATTAAATTAAGGATATCACACGCCTACATTAATGAGGATAATTGCCTCAAACGCGAAGCATATTTCAGGATCAAGGACATATAGAGTAAAATAGGTCGCAGATTGCACGATTGCAGAACTTGCTACAAAGGATGAAATCCTGCTTATTTTGCCTAGTAGTAGTGAGACTTTTGCCTTTCTGAGAAATTTATCAATTTAGCGTTCTTCACATTAGGAGACATTCGCAAATAAATTATTAGATATGTTATTATCGAATCATATATGCAAATTAATTACAAAGAACAAACATTAATATTTCATTACGTTATTGTTTATCCAATTAAAAGTTTAATATTTTATAATTTATGAAATATAATTTTAAAAGATATAATCTGTAATTTGTTTATTTTTATATAAAAATAGAATCTGCTGCAATAATAACATTGATTTAAATTTATACAAAAATAAAAGTTTTCAAATCAGCTATCGGAATTTATTTCCGCAAAACTACATAGACACCGGAAGGAAAGAGGAAATTTAGGTTAAGGAAAGTAGAATTGGATGGAAGTATTATAAAATGCAAGATAATATCTGTATAAATAATAAAAAAAATATTCGAATAAGCATGATAAAAAAAAATAATCAAATTCCTAAAATATTTATTAAAATAATATGTGTTACAATAATCTTAGGAGAGAAATTTATTGCTATTAATATGTAAAAATTAAATTATTTATCATTATCTTATAAATATGAAAATGGAACATTAAAATAATTGCATAAAGAATTATATATTCACATAATTTTGAAATTTTATTTATTAGAAATAATTTTTATTTTTATTTTTTGTTTCATTAATGATATAATCGTAAATTTATCTTTTGTTAACTAAAGCCTTGAACTTTTGGTTATTTAAAAAATTGATTAAAAGAATTTGATTAAAATATTGATAATACATATTTCATTTATATAATTAACTGAGAAAGATATCTCAGTTATATTTTATATTTATTACATATCAATAATCTTCGAATTTAATAAAGAAGCAATATTTTTTTCATTAATAAAAGGAGCATTTAAAGAATAACATTATGTATCGATTTAATAAAAGGACTTCAAAAGACAAAATAAGCTCAAGTATCAGGATAAAAGAAAATAACTGACATGATAATATCGATCCTCGATATTATCCTCCTACTATAATATCTGCAATCCTATCCTCTATGGATGTCCTGAGTATGCATTGAAAATGAAGTTCGTGTTACATCACATATGCAGAAATTTTTTTTTTATTGATGTCACAGATGCATTAGGCTCGTATAACTTTGCAGAAATTTATTTAATTAGACTAAACAAATCGATCAGAATTGTTCCTATTTTTATATAAAAATTTCGAAAGCTAAGACCTATTGATCTATTTTTTAATTCAAAAGATATTAGATTCACTTTAATACCTAATCCTACAAATTATTTATAGAATATTAAACAATTATTATTGGCTCCATTATTTTCTGACATATTTATTTTAAACAATAATAAAATTCTAAAATTTATCCTTTTCGTTATCAATCAAATAAATAAATACATGTATATTGCATTCAACAATGATATACGTTTATATCTTACAAATATCCAATCACATTAGGATATCATGCGAATAAGTATTTCGAGGTCGAATGAATCCCCTTTAAGATTGAATCGAATGTCGAGCTTCCGCAAGCTTTCAAATAGTAAATATTTCGTCGATCAGGACGCTATGTAAGACGGAACTTTTTCTTAATCGACCAAACGGAAGAATCCTTTCTCGTTTGAAGATATGTAACATCCCTTGAGACTCGTCAATGTCCTGTCACTCATCAACCGTGTGGCGCCAGAAGCATTCGCACCACCAGGATTTCATAACTTTAGAAGAGTGTTCGTGCGGATCTCCACGTTCCAGGACTTTGAATTTGTAGATGACTGGTTGTTCCGTATCTCTTAGAATAACAGGATGCCATGTTAATAACGATTCACCAACGTGGATATTATTCTTGCGTTTTCCATAGTTTCTGGAAGATCAATGAAATAAAACTTTAAGAAAACATCAAGGAAGATAGATTTGAAGCAAAAGAAAATTTAAACTGGCTAATAAATCTAA